GTCAGCTATAATAATAAATATTGTTGAACTTTCATTTTTACCAACTTCTGAGGACAAAGAGCTTTCAAATGTCATTTCATAGAATGCCCAGAACTCTGCAAAATAGTTATTATCATTTCCACACGACGAAGGAGAAAACAGTTTGAGAGAGACTAGGAGAGTAGCTCTACTCATCCAGCTGGGAAGGGCGTTTAAAAATAAAACATTGAAAACAGGGGAAGAAAACATAAATGACTTCTTCATGTAATTTCTGGAGAAAGGATTTTCTAAGTCAAAGCTGGTGAAAAAAATCAAAAGCTCATGTTAAAAATTCCACAAACAAAATTAAAATGCAAACACGTGGCTAGAAAAAAAATTTGTAACTGATTTGAAAGGAAAAGTGTTATCCTTAATATGTGAAGAACTCATACAAATCAATAAGAAAAATAGTGAGACTCCCAATATGAAAATGCTACAAGGGCAGAGCATTTAGTTTACAGGAGGAAATACAAATCAGTAATTAAAATAATAAATGTATTCAACTTTATTTGTAATGAAACTATTTTAAAATAAATAACAAAAAGTACCATTTTCAACTAAAACACTAAGAACCATTTTCAAAATGTTCCTACCCACTTCTAATGAAGATTGAGTAACAAGGCCGTTGTGATGAAGGGAACATAAGTCAGAATTATCTTTCTGAAAAGTATTTGAAGAATTCATATTAGGAACATTTAAAAATTGTGTGCATTTAATGCATTAATTCTACTTTTACAAGTCAGTACTAAGTAAGCAAGCACAAACGTGGACAAGACTTTGTGCACTTGGATATTAATGATAGTGTTTTAGTTATTGAATTTAAAAAAACTTGAAAATCACCTAAATACCAACACCCGGGGAATAGTTTGAAAAATTTTGATATCTTCGTATAATGTCCAAATACTTCAGCATTAAGAATAATGTTCTTAAAATTTGGGTTCTGGTTGTATTTAAGGAGGAAATCTTGCATACATAGGCATATTCCAAAATTCATTCTGAAAATTCATTTCTAGCAAACTGGATTCCATCTTTCAGGCAGTTTTCTCTTAAATTTTGGTTAATCAATGGGGGATTGTCAAAGTTTGGCAGTTTTTCTGCACCAGCCTTTTTTGTGAGTAGTTAATGGTCTGTAAACACCATTTAAATGCACCAAGGGAGTTCACCATTTAGAAGAATTCTCTAGGGAGCCCTTTTGAAGACGGAAAAGTCTTCAGATAATACAAATACTCACCCCTAAACAATTTTTTATTGACTTTAAAATTTATTTTAAAATCCTTTAGGTGGAGCTTCCAGTCATCATAAAAGTATTTTTATTTCTCAAAAAAATCGCTCCCATCATACCCGAGTAAACGTTTCCACACCTTCTTTAGTAAACTTGAATTTGGCATTGTAATGAGAGGATGCACTACGGATGTGGAGAAATTCTGAAGGACAGCTTGCTCTTCAGATTCTTTGAATAGATATTTGTGGAATCCCATAAATATTCTTCCAACCTTTTGATGAGCATTGTCAACGTAGTGTGGGGCTGTGGGGTGAAGTAGTAAGCACAGGTTAAATTAAGCATCTCTGCCTGGGCCTGGCATTCTTTCGGGAAGAATTTAGAAATATCTACGGGCTCTACACTCCTGTGGAAACACTGGAAAGTCACCACTACCCTCTGTCACTGGGAGTAAGGAAACTGAGCTTCCTTCTTAGAGTTCCTACGTCACTCTCATGTAATCTCCCAATGTCCCGGAATGTCCCAATGTGGACTAAGGTTGTAATTAACACCAGGCTCACAGGAAAGTCATGAGGATTAAGGAGATGGTAATACTGAAATGATTTTCAATCTTGCACAGGGAATTCAAGCAATTATCACATTGTATATATTTTGATTGCTTTTGTCAGACTCCATTCTGGGTTGTAGAATTTTACAGAGCACGTGTGAGTCCAAATTCACCTTTTCTTCCCCAAAGCTTCCTCCAGACACTGGCATAGCGTCCATACTCCCTTGTTTCATAAATATATGTTTTCTTCTCTTTCACTTGACTACATGTAAAGTAGTAATTTCTGACTGGAGCGGTATTATATTTTAAACTCTTTGAAGAACGCCCATATATCCCAAGGATGAATTGTTCTGCCTGTGCTTCTGTTATTTTTACTCATCAGCATCTTTTGCGACATCATTAACTACTTCACACAAGGCCCCGAACAAAATTTAAAGATACTTTACTTGCCCATTAGGATCTTAGACTCTGGTTTCTTCATGACACAATGTGATTAATCAATAATGAAGAGATTAAGTATTTAGCATTCACGATTCAGACTTTTCACAAATGTAAAAATATTCCAGACATATTCTTTATTGATTTAAAACGGAATCAGGACATCAAAAGAGTACAGACTAATATAAAATAAAGAATAGCTGATCATACGTTAAAATATGGTTGCCAAACATACTAGGAGAAAATGGTTCTTTTGTGTGTTTTTTATTATTATGAAAACTCAATTTTAAAATATCAATATTTTATGCTTTAATTTTTGATCTCTGACCAAGCTATTTGTCATTGTTGCAGTGGTGTTCTGCAGCCACTACTTATACGCTTTTTCATTATGAAATGGGTCTGTGGTGATCATTTTTTTTCACTGTGTGTGTCTATCTTTCTAGGTTAAGACTTTCGGTTTTTAGTTCTGCAAAGGTCACATCTATAATAATTGTGTTACCCTAACTGCCAGTGGCCATTTCTCAATTATCCTAGCTCAAGTCTTTGTGGTTTCCAGAATGAATATGCTTCCCATCTCTTCCCATACACAGATGTTTGCTGAATGAATGTCTGTGGTTTGTTTTCTCTGCCCCAGAAAATTAGGAGGCCATAGATCAGAGGAGAAAATGCTAATTCGAAGGCTGGGCATGCTATGGTCGAAGTTTTGTCAGCCTGGTGAGGAGGTTTAGAATTCCATGGTTTGTTCAAGGGATTTCTTGGGCCTACATAGGCTTCAGTTCATTAAGATTAATTCAAGAAGCTTTGCAGCTTTACCAATCTGCCCACCCAGGTAAGCTGTGTGTGTGTGTGCGTGTGTCTGTGTGTCTGTGTGTTAGTCTGTACTCGCTCACTAAGACCTTGAGCATTGTTAATTCTGATTGTGAGTGAAGATAATGACTGACATGTTCTCACAGAGGACAGTTTTTAGGTCTTGAAGAGACCTGTTGGGATAAACCATTCGAGATAATAGCATCAGGGCAGGACAAAAGCAACATCATTGTGAAAATGCCTTCAACTGAAACATTCTGATGGAACTAGGCATGAACAACAGATACAAACTGCCTAATGTGGTATGTAAAGATAGCAATAATCCTTAATGGCAACTGTAAAATGAAGCATTATCTTAGCCAGCAGAAAGGAAAATGCAAATTGATTCTCTTTTTGTTTGGGTGTAAGTGCTTATCAAGGTTAGTAGGTATTCAAGGTCTGTGACACCAGGATAATTTGTTTTATTATAATACGTGGAAAAGGAGAGTGCTTGGGGCTTTCTGAGTGACTCAGATGGCCAGAAAAAAACCCTATAGTCTGGGCTCTTAACAATCTCATCTCAACAGATCTCCTACTGTCTCTGATAGGGAGAAACTAAGTTCAGAACAGAAACATTTTAAAAAATGAGATGATAGAATTAATAGCTATAATGGATGATAGCTAGTAATATTTTGTTCCTTGGTGAGATCATAGAATTGAAACTTGCATTTTGACTTAAACTGTTTTACAGTTGCCTTTTAGGCAAAGGTTTTCCAAGTTCTTTATCTCAGACTCCCAGACGCTAGCAAGATAGTCACTGTTGACTCTCCCCAATCACAGAGGTTCATTGGCAGAGATGAAGACTTATGTGACTCAGTTTGGCCTGAATCAAAACCATACCTGACCCAATCACCAGGTCTCTATCTATACCAAATCTGAAGTCTATAGGGCCCCTTTATTCTGGTCTTGTCACCACCCTGAAGGGACAACTTAATCTTTGGATGCTGTCACATAGTGACACCTATTGTTCAATGAAGCAATTTTTGGTGATGCCTCAGTGCATCTTTACCTGGTTGGTAGCTCAGGAAAAGGGAAGGAGAGAGGGCAGAAGGAATCGTACTGATGCGCAAACCTTTTCATTTGAAAGACTCAGCTACAGTGAAACCTACTGAATGTCTTCCCAAAGTACGTTATCTCTAACGACAAGGCTGATTCAAGGAGATCTTGGCAATGGTAAATATGGCTGCTCGGAATTCCTTTCAGCTGCTAAGTAGATGCAAAATGCAACTGGTCATCCTTAAACACATTAATGAAACACATAAAGCCAACTCCATATAAGTGGGCTTCAACACAGAAATGGATCCATCTCTCTAATTCTTAAATAGGATTTTGGTATTTGGATCTTCCTTCCAGTAGGTTTCTGTGTGGTATAATCTTAATGAAAAAACTGAGCCTTTTATAGGTGCATTGTTGAATGATGGGAATAACTGATCAGTTACTACTCTGGGGAATTGTATGAGTGAAATACCAAAAATGTGTAAGACACAGTCACTTTCCTCAGGGAACTTGTGATTGAATTTTCAGCCTGATGTCTGCTGGCCTCTCACGCTATTGCTCTGAAAATAAATGGAACATTTTTCTTTTTTCTTGGGAATAGATCATTATCTGTCCAGGGAAAATCAACAAGAGGATTTACACTAATTAAGAATAATAAAATATTATTATTATTGAACTATAATGAACTATATGAACTATATAACTATATAATATAAAACATTATTATTATTGAACAAAATGAACTATATTAGTGGTTTCTTTGGTTTGTGATCAGCAGAAAATAACTTGAGCTAGCTTACTAAAAAAGGATATCCGTTGGGAGGCTATTGAAGTTGTCATGAAAGGACTGAATCAAGTGGTCTCAGAAAGCGTGGAAACACATCAGTGTTGAGGTCCTGGGACCTCAAATAGCAGTTGCTTCTGGGCCTTCCCTCTTGAGACCTACCTTTAGTTGACTCAGCTCCCAGTAATTCTCTGTTAAAGTGAAAAAGCTCATGTAAGAAAGAACCTCATTGGACCAACTTAGGCTGGGGGTCTGATAATGCTGCAAACAGTGGTGAGGAGAGCAGGATTGTAAAACACACACATGGCTACTGAGGGACCTTCGTGGAGTAGGGAGAAGTGCAAAGGAAGAGAAAAGCCTGAGTTGGACAGACACCCCCCAAATATGTGAATTACAATGGTAAAATAAGGAAGGTTCTTGTTTTCTACAGATGCTGATCCCAACTGAGAGAAACAAATGCTAGTAGAGTGAAAGTTTCAGAATGGTGTAGAATTTACATTTATAGAACTAAATGATTTGGAACAATATGGCAGAGTTTGGACCATGACTGCCCAGCTTCGTTTTCATTACTGTTTTCTTTCTCAGGTTGTTGTTTCTCTCTTCCCTGGTCAGGCTACCAACGACTCCACATGTGGCCAAATGGATCAGAATTATTTTCATGACCAAGTGACACCATGGGTTCAGAAGAGGAAGTGATCTTGACTCTAGGATGAACTCCAAACACCATAGCATGGTCCCTGAGCCTTTGATAGTCTGACTTTCTTCCAGTTTTTCAGCCCCGTCTCAGGTCACACTATTCCCTCGACATGTAGGGTAGGCAAATTCCCAGTCACACATAGCACTTCTTGTAGTTCCTTGAACATGTAGCATGTTCTCTATGCTGCTTCCCCTTTGCTTATGTCATTTTCCTTGACCTGGAATGCAACACCTCCTCTCTATCTGGATACTGGCCCTTTAGAGTACTTAGCAGGCTTCAAATATCACCTCCTCTGGGAAGGCCTCTCTGTCCCAGCATCAACCAAGTGCTTGGCTCATAGTGGTCTCTCTCCAGTCCCTAGAACTTGTGCTTCCAAAGATGAGGAATATATATTTTTTTCACTTTTGTCTTCTGCCGTATCTAGAAATGCCATTTGAAAGAATGAAGGCGGTAGAGTAAGTGGGAATACAAACTTGAGGCCTCCAGCATGCCTCTTCCTTTTCGCTGCTTCCCAGAGCATTGTGGCTCTCACCCAGACCTTCCCCTTGCAGCCTATAGGTGGCAATGAGAGTTTTCTCTCTCAAGCTTTTCTTTTCTTCAGGTCTGATGGTAATGACAGATCATTCAGAAGCATGCTGTGTTTGGAATGAAACCAACACAGCAACAGTGTTATATACACTTCAGTCCCTATCAATCTTGACAGGATTTTTATATGGGGATTTTATGACGAAAGGCTTCATATCCCATCACACCTTCCGTGAGCCATCCGCTCCCAGGGGAATATTTGTCTACAATTGCAAAAAAAAAAAAGCCAAGAAAATCTGCAATATATCGCTGTTTCCCAAGGTAAGCAGCCTCCATTGTTCCTGCTATTGGCTACACAGACGCACATGCTATTTGGGTACATGATATATATCCAACATATACATTCTGTATATTCACATTTTCATTTACACAAATTGTACAAGCATGTGCATGTATACGGCAACCTTTCCTGGACATACAGTGGTAAATCACACACACTTATACACACAAACACACAAAAAAAAGGAAAGGAAAAAATATTACTGTTTTCACTCCCTTACAGATAAGCATCATTTGTATGTCAGAAGTAGGGAGGGTGGTGGGGGGGCATAGACTTTTAAATGAGGTGAGATATAGGCCTTTCTAAATGTTTTGCATCTTTCATCTTTCCTCTGTGTCCACTTTGCTAAGTCTGTTTACCAATAGTCAAGGCCAGCGTGCTAATTTGCCTAATTTGGAATTGGAGAGAATGTGGATTGATTTTTAACTTCTCTCAGAATACAGAGGAAGGGCCATCTGTTAGGATTAACTGGGTGTGTAAATCCCTTTTGACTCATCTTCTCTGACAATGGGGTGGAAGAGTAGTAACTGGTCAACCACAGTGTTCTCTCTATTCACAGTAAGAAATATACTTTCCCTCCGAGAAGTCCATCAGTTAATATTAACAAGGAGAAAGAGAAAGAATAACCTGGCAGGAAGCTCTGAATTTCCCCCAGACTCGAGTCAAGAGATCATCAAGGAAGGAGTCTAGCTGTAAAGTACACCTCTCTTCCTCCGATGGGAGTGACAACCAGGGTGACTGGAATCAGAGGGCAGCCTGCTCTCCTTTGGCAAACAAACACCCACTCTGGTAAGTGCCTTTTAATGTGCATCAAGTCTATGTCTAGGAAAAGGATGCACAGTTGGCAAGTACAGAGCTGTAAGGGGATAGCTTTGACATGCTGATAAAGCTTCTCGGTTTACTTTGGACTTGACTTTATCATTTACTGAAGGATAGTATTAGTGTGGAGACGATAGCCATTCTCTGACTTCTCGAACGAAAGCCAGTGAAATGTATATGAACAAAAGGTCTGTTATGGGGAATCCTACCCTGTTTGCTCAGTGACTTTGGGATCCTAATCATACAACTTCACAGAGATAAGGCCTGGAGCAGAGAAAAAGAGCCCACCCAGTTAGGGGCCCCCAGGAAGATGAGTGAAAGTCAGTGGCGTTAAAAATGGAAGCTCCTCCAACTCTGAGCATGTGTGTAGTTTTCCCTTATTGCAAATTTGATATTATAAAAATAGATTTGCTCTTTGGAGCCAGATGGCACGCAGTACTTCTGAAGTTAAATCCAGCCTTATGACAATGGCCATCGCCAAAAGGAACTACTTGACTGTGATGCCAAACTATTCAGCTCTTTATGAGTCATTTTCATCAAGCAAGCACTTCTGAACCTCTTTGGGTACAAGCACACATACATGCCCCTTGACCACAATATAACTGTTGCTTTGGTGCGGTATCTTTTTTGTTGTTGTGTTTTTGTTATTTGTTTTTATCTTCCTCATTCTTGTTTGAAAAAAATAATAATTAAGAGCACATACCTTGGTACTGATTGTCAATTAGCTTGTTGCCTTACAACATGATTTTACTGCTCATTTTCAGATGGTCTCATTGATTGATTGATTGATGCATCCACTCCTTTAGCAAAGTCTACAGTTGCACACAAGCAAGATCATAGGATCGGAAGTCAAAAGATGCATGTTGGGCCCATCAAGACATGATTTTTTGAAGTCAAGTCATCCTGGGAAATCCTTTACAGTTTTCTTGGCTTTAGCTTTCGTAGCTTATATGGAAGATAGTAATAGTAATTGTCGCAAAAAATATCATTTGTAAAAGCATTTTGTATACCAGAAAACATTATGCAAAGACTTTTTGTTCTCAAAGGCTAGGACTATGACTAGAATATTGTATAAGTGAATAAGCATATTTTAAGCATCTATCTATGTCCAGAAATTTGTGGGGAGTTTTGTAGATAAAAAGACTAATCTGACAGAGATTCTGTACTCAAGAAGGTTAAAGCCTATGAGAAGAAAATAATTCAGTCACAGAGAAGGCACAAATTTAGTCTTAGAATTTTCTTAAAATTTTATATAAAGTAATATATTTGCCAGACAAAGCCATCAACATTGTGATTCTCTGTGAGCTTCAGCCTGACTTTGTGATAACCCATGTTTAAAGATAATATTGGTTATTTTAAGATATACTCCTATAAACATAATAAATTATTCACTTTTATTTAACAAGCAATGTTCAGCTTGTTAAGTAATTTCCTAAATTCATGGCAGTTTGGAAACTTAATGAGGTACACTGACTCTAGGCTACTTTTCTCTGTATTTTTAGAAACCAAAAGAACTTTCAATAATAATTGGAAATATTCATCTTTTCTTGTTAAGAACAAGTATTTGGTTGTTCAAGCAAAATTTTCAAATGTAGGCTTGTCAAAAAAGGGTACTTAAACGTTGACTATTCTATTTCGGTTATGTGATTTAAGAAAGTAACCTTTTAAAGTTCAGTTTCCTCATGTGTAAAATGGGATAACAATTCCCCATTTTGAAGGTGAAACATAAAAATATGTGTGGAACACCTGTATTAATTAGATGCGGGTTAGGTTTTGGTAATAAAGACACCCTGGAAGATAGCAGCTTGAAAAACAGAAGTTTCTTCCTTTCTCATGTAGCCACTAGGGTGGCTGTTATAATGGCTGCTCAGTGGTGCAAGGGCCCAGTAAGGGTCCATCATGGATTGTAATAACTCCACTTCCATTGTGGCTGCCGGCAGGATAGGAAGACCAGCTAGACTAGGGACCACTACTTAGTGACTTGAGGGACTGGTCAAGGGCATCAGGGCATCCAGGGACCTCTATCTGCCCCATTGCCACAAGGATCCTCAGAGAAATGATCACCTGCAGTCTTGGGTAACATCTCATGGCCCTGTGGGACTCTGTGGGGCTCCCCACATCTCATCTCTCAGGATACTTATTGCGTTTTCCTCATAGTAACAATCATAATTTGGATCATTTTTAGTGACTTTTCTCCTGTGAAAGCATACTGTGCAACAAAGGGGGCCTTACAATGTTGTGAAACTCAGGCTTAAATATGTGTGGGGTGTGTACATGCTCGCATGTGAGTGTATAAGTATTGATGTGTGTGTGTGTGTGTGTGTGTGTGTGTGTGTGAAGTGATTCATTTAAGTACATAAAAGGGGGCAGCGATATGGGAGGCCTTTTGCATAGGCATCGGGAATCAGAGGCTGCTGGAGGATTCTCAAAGAGCATCTTTAGCCCGATGGGATTTTATGAACCAAGTGTTGCCACTGCTCTTTTAGAGCTGGGCATCCATCAACTCGGGGTCTATGGTGTTGCAGTGAAGGGCTCTCATTTCCCCCAGAGGCCGTGGGACTTCCCAGATCTGAGTGGGTGTTACAGATGGTGCTGCAGGTAAGTGTCAGATGGGGAACCAGCATGTGTCCTTGTCACCTTCCTTTCCCCAGAAGCCACTTCCCTGAGTCTCACCATGCTGCCAGCCGAGGCTCAGGTGCCTGGCTCTCCGCCCTGCTCCTGGAGTTCTCTTTGACATTGCAGCTTGTGCACACTGCCCCGTGGAGTGTGAGGAATCACAGGCAACAGAGGCCATTGGAAGTGCCACTAAACAGGAATTCTGGTCTTGCCTCTCATTTGCATCTCTCCTCTCTTCTGCTTCCCTTGTAGCTGAAGAGCTGCAAAGTGTCACACTGTGATGTCTCAGGCAGCTGTTGGACCCAAAGACAGTGGAACCATGGGCTATTGTCCCCAGCATAGTCAGTGGAAATTGAACCTGCCTTTGGAGAGTTTGGTTTTATCCATACTGGATTTGAGAAAACACTGACTTGACAATGTCCAAGTAGTTTAAATTGCACAGAGAAAACCTGGAGCAAGATCAAATCTAGGGATGTGGATAGAGCCTTGCTGAAGCTCAGAGAGTTGTGGGGCCACTTCTAATGTTTTTGAGGCAATTGGCATGTTAAAAAAATAAAGAAAACAGGCTTAGAAAATTTGTGACATATTTAACATTTTTACATTTATCAAGGTAACACTTTCAGTACACACAAACAATCCAACTGTGTCTTTTTTTAATCAAGAAGCGTTTCTAAAATATATTTATGCATGGAGAATTAAGTAGGAGGGTTTTATAATAGGGTGTATGTAGGGTGATCATTCCTCTGACTCTGCCTAGGACAGTCCTGGGTTACATGCATTGTCCCAACATAATTAGTGATAGCACTCAAAGAGTGTCCCACTTTGAATGATAAACTGGTCAACTTAGGAATATATTTACAGCTGTATGCTGGGTGCCTTCTTTCCACACTCTCCAGTGGCTCAGTAACTCTAGGTAGATCCCATTTAGAGAAACATCAAAAGTCTCAGTTGGAGGCACTTTGGCAAGGGGCCTTGGGAAAGAATATGGGAGTCATCTCCATAGAAGTGGCACCGGAAGCTGAGGTGGTGAAGGGTGGGAGGTCCTGGATCAGTTAGTTCTCCAGCATGAATGATGAGACCCTCATAAAGCCCTACATTTTTTTTGGATTTGGTATTTTCTATACCATGGCCCCATATATTATCTCAGCTGGCCCCTTGACACTGTTATCAGGTGGGCACTACCTGTATTAGTATCCTTGTTTTAACCTTGTTGATAAAAGATGAGAGGAATGGGAAATATTCAGGTGCACCTCAACAGTCAGAAGCAGAACAGGATCCAGACTGAAAGTCCTTAAACTTGAATCCAGTGTTTCCCCGCTCAGTGCACAGAGGGGACGTTATCCAATGCTTAACTTCTTCAAGTTGTTAACGTTTTGAAAACGTTATGATCTATAGTGTCCCTTGCGACAAGTGACATTACCAGAGACACACTTGAACTACTGGGCCCTGTTGAGCCCAGTTTCCATCCAGCTTCTGCCATTTCCTATGATCACGTGCAAATCTCTCTTATAGGATCTCTCTGAACCTTTCTTTCATCGCTTGCATTGTGTGAAAAAATAATAGTGCCTACTTCAGCGGTCTGGTTGTATTAAACGAGATTCATGTAATATGCCTCAGGCCTCTTATGCAGAAGGCACCAAATAAACCACTTCTTCTTTAAAGTGGGTGTAAAACGCTTATGTTTTTAGTACATCTTTAAGTTCCAGTTCCGATTTCTAGGCCAGAGGCACGACACTTGAGGCTATTTCAGATTTTTGTAAGTTAAGTCCCTTCTAACATTAGGGACCCAGTTAAACCAGCAGTTGAATTTGCCGGCAGATAATAATGCATGGGTTCCACCCCTGCTCCTTATAAACACTGAATAAATCCGAAATTCTCCCCCACTGGAGAGAAATTTAATATTTAAAGGTAATTTGACCTGTACACGTGTGTACCATGAATAGTTAATGAAACCTATAGCAAATGTATTTATATAACATTAATCTGAGGATATTTATTTCTTATTCATTGTCTGGGATATTATTTCCTAAGCAGATGTGAAGTTGCCCTCTGTAAAAATGTTTGGTTCTAAAGGTGCGCTTCAAAATTGGAGAGCGGAGCTACGCTTTTTCCTGCTACAGCTGGTTGATGCTTCTTCTGCCCCCTTAAAAAGAAGAGCAATTCTGGCGCCAGCCGGTGGTGTAGCGGTTAAGTTCACACGTTCCGCTTCTCAGCGGCCTGGGGTTCGCCGCTTTGGATCCCGGGTGCGGACATGGCAACACTTGGCACACCATGCTGTGGTAGGCGTCCCACATAGAAAGTAGAGGAAGATGGGCACAGATGTTAGCTCTGGGCCAGGCTTCCTCAGCAAAAAGAGGAGGACTGGCAGTAGTTAGCTCAGGGCTAGTTTTCCTCAAAAAAAAAAAAAAAAAAGCAATTCTAAGTGGACAAGATGTTATCACAAAGACGTTAGGGTCACAAGGTTGTCCTCAAGTACCACTCTTTTGACTCATCATTCTATTTTATATAATGTTTGCAAATATAGACAGCCAACTCCAACTTTTTCACTTTCCTTTGATATAATTTCACTTCTTTATGATATTTCAACTTGTTAGTACTTTACATTAAAAAGGTACGCATGATTCAATTTAGTTGACAATTTATATGATATTTAATTCGGTGTTAAAAAACAATTTTTTTTGGATAAGTTAGGACATCCACATAGAATGAAGCTGTTTTTCTCTCGTAACTTCAACCTTAGGATTAAAAAAAAAAAAAAAAAAAGCAAAACCGAACAAACAAATAACATTGACTGTAAAAAGAAGAAACAAAAGATGTTGTGCCCAGATGCAACTTATTATTATTTTGTTATGTTTTCATAAATCAGATGTGGTAGATTTGGGGAGAAAAATCCTAAAGTGCTATCTGATCACTTTCTATAACTACAACAAACCCAACATATTTGAGAGGAAAAAATGACAGAAAAATGAGCAGTGACTCCTTTCTTATCCTGGTGGGTAACTGGGAAAAGCAATCTGACCCACTGGTCAAGGGTACTGTGCAGAGCCACGCTTAGGAGGAAAGTTGTGCCAGCCAAGGAAGTCATGACCACAAACTTTTCCATGTTTTGAATTGTTTCCATTTTATAAATAATCATGTTCCTCTCTACAATGTTACCCTAGTGGGGAAAACAAAACCAATATTTATAGTCAACATACTCTTTTAAGATATCATTAGCAAGATGTCATGTTTCGCTATCTAATGGAAGGAAAATAAAACAAGGCTGAAACATAAACTGCTTTAACTATTTAAAAGCACAGAATTCCAAAGGAATTTTTTCAGACTACACGTTTAAGAATTGTAGTCCAGAGGAATCGATAACGTGTGAACGCCAGAAGAAACGCTTGTCGTTAATGTGAAAGTTTGGTTCACATGTGACTTCATTATAATAGTCACTGAGCTCTGCCCTGACTTGACCTGACCTTCATAGTCCAATGGATCTTACCACTAAGCTTGAGGAGGCATGGCCTGCTGTTTAGAATGTTTTGAAACGTCATGTTTATACCTACTTGTCATAAACCTCTTTGTGGCTCTGGATAGAGCCCCGTTTTCTTCTCCACTGGGGATGCTCGTGTGATGTAGTCGGTTGCTGTATCAGTTAGCATGACGCTAGGCTTTGAGACCCTATGGAAATGGATTTATCAGAAAAGAACAATTGTCAGTTCTTGTGGCTGATTGCAGATTAACTTTCTGTTTTTTGCCCTCCATGGGCCTATCCTAGTGTGATCCAGTACACCCAAGGATATATAACGGAAATAACATTTTCACAAAATATTTATCCGTACTACATGGACTTACATGATGATATTTTCTGTCCATTCTATCTCATTTCACTTAAAAAAAATTGCTGGTCACAACCTACTAAATTAATTTCTCAGCCCACTAACGGATTATGACGTACAGTGTGAGAAGCACAGGCCTAGCTCCCAGCAAGGCACACGCATAGACTATTTGATCAATATGTGTTTTTTTGAACAACGTAGTTTTTTAAACGTGTTTTTATTTTTTTGCAAAGCCCATGCATAGCCTTTCTCTGCTGTCTCTTCTTCGGTAATCTCTTCTCTGTAGTCCAGCGTATGGCATCTTTTAGTTTTAGTGCACAATAGAAATTTGCAACACCCTCAGAGAATTTTG